ATGTTGGCGATAGAGACGCAGACTGCGTTGCGGGTGCAAGCGTTAACCTTTCTGCCGCCATTACCGTTGAACCAAGTTATATAGAAGTCAGTGACATACCGAGGGAAGGCGGACCCCCCCCCCCTTGAGGAAACGAGAAATATTTGAAAGTTACTTTTTTCCTATCCTTGAATTCTTTCCTGTCATGCGGGGTCTGCTGCTCTCCTAAGTTTTCTCCACTTTTCTCGGTTCAAGGCTTGTTGCTCATATATCTCAAGTTCTCTCATACACGCTTTGTCTCTATTTAACCATCGCATCTTAGGTCTTCCTCTTGGCCTCTTTCCTAGTACGTTCACTGACATGGCTAGTCTAGTTACATGGTCTTCATCTCGTCGGCTCACATGTCCATACCATCGGAGGTGTCTTTCTTGCATCTTCTGTACCACTGGTGCGACTTTCATCATATCTTATTGTGTCGTTTGTGATATGGTCTAGCATGGTAACTCCTGTGGCCCATCTCAGCATCCGTGTCCCATCACGCCAACCTTCCTCTCCTCACTACGGGTACACGGCCAGCGTTCGCTTCCATACAGCACCGTTGGTCGAACTACTGTGCGGTATATAAGTGACTTGAGGTCTCGCGGCATCCGTTGGTCACATAGGATTCCTGTCATGTTTCTCCACTTTATCCAAGCTGCACCCACCTCACTGTTATCTCGTCGTGAAGGCTACCATCTGCGGAGATACGACTTCTGAGGTACTTCAAGGAGATGGTCTTCTTGATTTGCGTGCCTTCGATCTGGATGGTCCCAGGTGTTTGAACTCCTACTCAGACAATCGCCGGGGGCAGGCGGGCACCGGAAAAATAGTTTGCTGATCTCTCGCACCCCGCTCGCGGATTTTTTGCAAAGCAATCAGGACTTTTCGGAAGACCGCTCGCTAAGTCAGCGAATTTTTGAGAGACCGCCTGTTGAATTTTTTTCGCTCTTATCTTTTGCAGATATATTGCTGAATCTCTGAGGAATCGAGAATTCAGCAAGCGGTCTTCCGAAAAGTCCTGATTGCTTTGCAAAAAATCCGCGAGCGGGGTGCGAGAGATCAGCAAACTATTTTTCCGGTGCCCGCCTGCCCCCGGCGATTGTCTGAGTATTTCCATGTATTTGTATTTGTATTTGTATCTTTGTCGTATTCAGCTTCAATCCATGCTGCTCCAGCTTATCTTTTTACATCTGCACATCCATCTAAAGCTCTTGCCTGCTTCTCGCTAACAGCGCCACATCGTCCGCATACATGAGTGCCCACGGTGGTTGTCGGTAAGAGTTTTTGAATACTGCATCCATCACGGTGATGAACAGGAGCGGGGAGAGTACGGAACCTTGATGTACGCCAGCGTGTATGGTGATTTCGCCGTTGTTTGGACTTGCATCTGGCATCTTTGTAGATCATTTGTATCCATTGCACGTGGTCTTCTAGTACCATGTGTCTACGTAATGCGCACCATATTATCTCGTGGGGTACCTTGTCGAACGCCTTCTCGAGATCTGGAAACGTGGCGTGTAGTTGACTTTGCCTTTCTCTGCTTCGTTCGATCGTTATTTTGGTTACGTAGATGGCGTTCATCGTGCTACATTCCTCCACGAATCCACGTTGATTGGGGGCCAGCTCTATGATTCCTTGAAGTCGCGTTCCCAGTACTCTCACAAATATCTTTAACGTATGGCTCATGAGACGTATGGGTCGGTATGTAGAGCTGCATCTCCCTTGTTCTTCCACACTGGTATCGTTGCGCTCTTGTACCAATCGTTAGGTATCTTCTTGCATTCTATTTGGTTGAAAAGTATTGTTAGTCACTCGAATCCAGCTTGGCCCACTGTTTCCAGAACTCGCTGGGGATGTCGTCTGGGCCTATTGTCTTGCCGTTCTTCGTGATCGTTATAGCGCTTCGGACTTCTTTTTCTGTGATCTTCGCTACCGGTCCATGTACAGGTTCAGCTATTATTGTAAATGACTCTTCGTAGCTTGTAGATGCCATTGCTTCGAAGTGCGTTCGCCATCGTTCGTTTATCTCTTCGAGTCGTCTCAGGACTCTTCCATGGGTATCCTTGATATTGTGGCAATATCCATGTCTTGAGCGGCTTTTGCTCTTCATCTGCGATCCTGTATATCTCTCGCTTGCCTTTACGGGTGCGAAGCTTCTTGTAGACGTTTGCCTTGTAAGCTTCTTTCGCCTCTCTGACACTCTTCTTTGCTGCAGGCTTTGCATTCAGATATTCTTGACGCCGTCTTCTCCGCCTGACCTCTGCCATACCTTATACGCCGTCTTCTTCTTCCTGATCGCTTCTTGTACGGTATCATTCCACCACCATGTTTCGTTTTCAAGCTTCGGCCTTCCTGGTTTCGTGCAGCCTAATAATTTGCTTGCCATCTAATGGACGTTGTTCTTCAGATTTGTCCACGAATGTTCTGGTTCTTCTTCCATCTTTGGCAGGGTTTTCTTCATTGCTGCTTCGACTTGAGGGTTGTCCTTGGGCTTCCACCATTTAATGCGCTCCCCACCTCCCGTCATTGCCCTTCTTCTTCTATTGATGGGTATGTTCAAATCTAGAAGCAGCGGTCTGTGTCGAGGTACGCACTCTTCGCAGGGATGACTTTGCTATCTCTCACGTACTTGAATTCATTCTGTCGTACCGCCCAGAAATCTATTTGCGAACTATGATTTCCACTAGAATACGTGATAAGGTGATTGGTCTTTTTGATGAAGTACGTGTTCGCTAGTGCCAATTCGTGAGCTGTGGCAAGGTCTAGGACACGCTCGCCTTCTTCATTACGTATGCCGTGTTCATGATTTCCATGACACTTCTGCAGATTACTTCGCTGTTCTCTCACATGCCCGTTGAAATCTGTCTCAATTAGTAGCATAGCAGCTCTTCGTGTGGGATTGCGCTTAGGTAGTCGTCAATTTTCTGCCAGAACTCCTCTTTCTCAGCTTCGGCGCAATCTGCTTGTGGCGCATATGCCGTTACTCTTCGAAGCTTCTTTTTTCCCATATCTACTCCTATACTTATTAAATGGTCGTTTATTCGATCTACGCCAGTTATGCTATCTCTCAGCGCTCAGAGACCACTATTCCGACACCATTTTTACTACTGCTTGTTCCCTTATACAGAAGCTTGAAGCCGTCGCCGATGTTTCGCGCCCTTTCTCCCTTCCACTTGGTTTCTTGTAGGCAACCGATGTCTACTTTACGTCTTTTGGGGATATCCGAAACTTCCGGGTGTCGAGCTGTGAGGGATTCAACGTTAAAGGCAGCAGCTCGCTAAAACCGAACATCCCGAAATTTTGACATGGAAAGTTGCTTGCACCCCGAACATGAGAACAGAGCAGGTCCGAGCGCACGGCATGCTGCCCTTGTCTAGAAAATCCCCTGCGCAAGCCATTCTCTTACGCGAGGACGAGCTTGCGATTTTCCCTGACCCGTTAGAGAAGGCATGCCGCATCGATTCTGCCTCTCTAACCATGGGGGACTTGCTACACTCGTCCAACTTCAAAATTAGGGGCCTTGCAAAATGGTGGTTTTTGCCATTTTTGCTCTCTTCAAGGTTGATCTCCGGAATCGCCTCGAATTACCCCACGTGAGCAAAAATACTTGAAGTCGAGAATCTGCCGAGCCGCTGCCTTTAAGCGTAGCTAGACGAAGCTAATCTGAGAACTTGTATTCGCGCCTATGATGAACTAGCTTCTTTAGCAGTCCCCGTTCACCTTGTTGAGACGGTAACCCTAGCATACTGGTCGCACTCGTCGCGTCGCCTCCGAGGAACGCCCTAGTTTTGATCCGAATGTTTTTTCCGAACATAAAAGAGCATTTTGATGCGAAGGATTGTCTTCTTCAACCGGCTTGTCGCGTGCTTACGTTGAAAGCACCCTGACGCTGGATTCGTGTGGCAAGAGCTTCGCCAAAGAAATTAGCCTCTGCGTGGAACCGAACGCATGACCTTCTTCGCCAAGACCAGGGGCGGTATGCAACAATCGCCCGTCCGGGTAAGTTACCCGCGCTCGGTGCTCTGGGAATCTGTGTTCTTCCTTGTTTGTTTATCTATTGGAGGCTCTACTAACCTAATATTGTAGCACAATGACTAGCAGCACTTTGCTGTATAAGCTGAGATGATTCGTTATTTGTGTGATCCCGAACGGGATCTCCCATTGATCATGCTCATTTTCAAAGTTATTTATATCCACAAAAACTCAATGAAGACGTCACAGAGTTTTGCTGTCTATATATTACGACATGCTAGGCATGTTTTTAATAGCACAGCTGAAATGTGCAAGTTTTGCGTTTTTCGATAGAGCCCAATTCGCGAGCACAGGTTCAGCGAAGATTTTGTCAACTTGATTTTTCACTTATTTCTTTCACAAACATGCGTAGCACTGTCGTAATAAATGTACAGCAAAACTCTGTGAGGTTTTCATTGAGTTCTTGCGGATATAAATAACTTTGAAAATGAGCGTGATCAGTGGGAGATCCCGTTCGGGATCATACAAATAACGAATCATCTAAGCTTATACAACAAAGTGCTGCTAACCATTGTGCTACAATATTAGGGTAGTAGAGCCTCCAATAGATGAACAAACAAGGAAGAACACAGATTCCCAGAGCACCGAGCTATGAAGCGGAAACTACCTGTCCGGGTAACTTACCCGGACGGGCGATTGTTGCATACCGCCCCAGAGCACTAATTCTCGGCCAATTCTGCCCCATGAAAGTTACTTAAATGTGTTATAAAAATTTCCAAATGATTTGTTTATACTTGTAAATAGGTTAAAGAATTCGGCGTTTTCAGTACCCTCTGCGGTCATGTGCCGAACGCACTCTATAGTCGAAGAGGCTAATGAAAGAATGCATGCTTGCCTTTTACAGTGACTTACTCACAAACTACAGAAATCAGGGGTGATGATGGCATGATTTTTGGTAGACGCTGCCTTCAACTCTTTGCTTAAGCAAACTACTAATCCAACGCTCTCAGGGTACGGTCATATCGTTCCGCGGACGAATGCTGGACGAATAGCGATCATTTTCTATGCACTTTTTGGTATACCTCTAATTTTGGTCACCATTGCTGACATGGGACGATTTCTGTCAGGTTTGTGATCTTTTTAGGATTACGCAACGTTACTATTTGTAAGATATGTCTATCTACAAGCTCTTTCTCCAACTCTGGTCTGTGTATCGGATAGGATTGCATCGATTCTACAGATTTGAATAGCTGCTCATGTTTTGGTTCCTTTTCTAAATGACCGATTTTGAGTAAATTTAAAAAATGAGACCTGTGATGATGTATAAGCAGGGCTCGGCACATCTGGTACCGGGTCAAGCTGGATATCGTTTTTTCCGGGGTCCGGGGCGGACAAGAGCCGCAAGAATGCCGCCGGCATGCCACCGGCATGCTGTCCATCAAACAAACAACGTTGTTTTCAGCCAAAACGCAATAGTATGACACCAAATTTGGTGTGTGCATGCGCGTTGGGAGGCCCGAACTATGACCCAAAAATTTATGAAAACTTATGTGAATGAAAGCTGTGCTGAACTTTTTTCTAAATTTGCTGGCAGCATACTTTGCTTACATAAGTTTTCATACTTTTTTACCTAAAATGTATCTACACTGTAAAAGTTTACATACAGAGAGAAACAATTTCATAATGTTTTCTTTTCAGCGTTTTGTAGCCATCTAAGGTTACTCGGTCTGCTTCGCAGTCGAAAAATCGGCTTTTTCCGCTTCTCAAGATGTGATTCAACCTCTTAAAAAGCTCAGAAACTGTGGAAAGTTATTCTATAAAATCGGCATCCATGAAAACCCTACTACATACTTTTACGTAATCTAAAAATAATGACGGACCTTCAAAACAGGTCAAAGGGAACTTCATACGAGATTTTCAAATCAAACGGGACTTCGTTTTGGAAGTTCCCTGGTGCCAGCTCGTGCCGAGCCCTGTGTATAAGTGATACTTAATAGACAACTCTTAGCGTGATGCACCTGAAGATAAGAGAGCGTGCAAGAACATTCGAAGTTTACGCTGATTACTCGTTCTCCTCTTAGTGCTCTTCTTGTGACCAAATTCGCATCCCATCTGAAAGCGCTGTTCACATTTTCCTTATATCTGCTTCCTTTGCTGACTTGCCGACAACAGATCTTTGGAACATGCTTAGAAGCCTCAAATAAGAAAATTTTTCTCCATCAACTATTTTGAGGTGATCTTATCCGGCAACGAAAATATTTCCTTGTTAACATAGGTAACGCAAGTTTTTAGCCAGGTTCAGAAAACACACACTTAAGCTCGTTTTCACAATTACGAAAGCAGATATTTGGAATTCAAACATGACTAATTGCTGAGGCCATTCAATTTTGTTTAGCGAATTCTCGGAAAAGTCTCTGATAGCTACCATTTGATTCAACTGGCTTGGCTTCGGCAAAGGCGGGGCTTCGTGACTTAATTAAGGCTAGGTAATGATCAGAGAGCACTCGCCCGAGAGAGACGCAGGTGCGTCGTGGGCGCGAGCGGTCTCAATTAGATCACAAAACCCCGCCCTCACGGAGCCAAGCCAGTTGAATCAAAGGCTGCTCGTTTAGTACTGACTTATGGTGCAAGAGCTGGGAGTTTCGTGCTAGATACTCTTTTCTGTGAAAGTTGGTTTGTTTTACTTCTTGCACTAAATTGCCTTTCGAAGCTACTGGAGCAAGTGAGAAGGCGTTATGTAGACGAAGGTTTCGGACTGCGGTGCTTTTGCCATTCTGAAATGTGTTTCAATAACGGAATCGCGACAGTTCAACTGAAAGCTGCAAAACTGCATTAATTTTCGGACAATGTACTGCGCAAATCGGTGTAATCGAAAATCTATCAATCTAGGTCAATCATCAGCTAGGTCGCTAATGAGAATGAGTAACTATCAAATTAGAAAGAAGACTGTTGTTTTCATGGCAGCGCAACAAGAGAAACCCAAATATTATAAGGAGCCTATTCGATATAGCAAAACATATTCTAAATATAATTTCCAGAGGTTAGCAGAAGTGATGATCACATGAAGATGATACTGAAAACATGGAAAGCTTAGTAGGCTCTTTTATGTATATCACGAAGTGTTCACTAAATGGTTAATTTAATGGTAATTTTATAGAATTTATTTGGTTGGAGTCGGGCTTTCGGATACAAAATTGTCTTTGTCCGATGTCACTTCACATGGATCATAATTTATGCGGATGAATAATGGTCTGTAGAGTTTGCTTTACGCTATAGAATACGTGCTCCTTTACCTTGCTCAGCAGCTTGAAAGCGACACTTCTTTCTAACAATAAGTCAATAATAGGCTGATGCAAAAATAATGGCCGTTTTTCCAAGTCTTTCCAGGACAACTTTTTCCATCAAAATTTCTTCTTTGAAATAACCATAGCATGCCTTTAAGAAGACCTTTTCATGCTCTATCTACCGATGATTGAAAACGGTTATCAGCATCATTTTCTACAAAATCAAAACTTCGTTGCATTCACTTTTCAGGTTCTCCGAAAATTTAGTTACTTTGTGAAAGAAATTGTCTGCATTATGCATACCCTAGCATTCTCTCACAAATTATCTAGAACGAGTTATGGGCGCCTCAACATGGTTGATCGTTCTGGTCATTCCGTGGCCCATAAATTTCTTCTAAAAAAAGCAATCGCCAAAGCTCTGCTCATCTCTGAGCGTAAGGGTAGGGCATTTTGTTGACAGTTTTGCAAGGAACTCTTATCTGCTCAGTACGCGGGAAAATTAAAAATTCTATAATTTGGTACTCTGAGACCTACCTAGTGAAGAATCTTAAAAAAAACTGACAATTTTAAACTTTGATTTTTTCCTTCTTTGCATATTTACTTTGTCCAGCCCCCTTCCACTTCCTTTGTCCTACTGGCTTGCTGCTACAAGATGAGCAACTCGTCATTCATACAAACTTTGAAGGGAGTTATGATCTCTCAAAAACAAGGCTTTAGAAAAAATGTTCCTATTTTTTAGTCCATATCTTTCTGCCCTTCATGAGTATAGCTCAATGTGCGCTGTATTGCAAAAGCTTTGCTGCTTCTGATAGTCTTTCTGCATTCGACATATAGATTTTTTAGAAAGTTATAGCACGTCAAAGTGAGAATTTGCAAAACGGCCATTATTTTTGCATCACCCTAATACTTACTTAGGTGCTCGTATTCAGATTTGTCCTGAATGTGTATTTTGCATCCGGTAGTCCTTACTAGGAAAGAAAATTGAGCATGTTGTACGGTCTGTAAAGAGACATAAGCGGTTCATCTCGATTGAACGCTGAGTTCAAATCTGCATTCATTAGCGCTCAGCGGTCTTCCGAAAGAGTTATGACCAATCTTATAATGTTATTACTATTATAAGCATATAGGAAAGGGAATCGCACGCAACAAGATTCCACCATGTGGCCGTTTGTCTCAAAATCACTCTTGCTACTTTGCCGCATCTATGGAGCGCTGCATACTCTCAGACATGTCCAAAGCGCGGCTTGCCTATCGAGAATGGTAATATCAGAGGACAGTACAGCATATAGCGAATGTTAATTGAACTTAGCACTACAAAGCGAGATAAACCATATATCTCATTGAAAACGGCTGAATGTTAATTACATTTATCCCACAGTTTACTGTCCACATTACCACGCAAGCAGGTCCTAAATTCGATTTCAATGAGAAGTTGCCTGATTCATTCATCTGAAAAGAGTCTTACTTTTCAGGAGGTATTATTTGGGTACATAACACATATCGAAAATTCATGGATTCTTGCTACGCTCAATGTTGGAAGTGCTTCAAATGTATGTGCTGTGGATTGCGAAGAAAACAAAAGCGGATACAGGTTCAGTTATAACAATTAGACATATAATATTGCCATGCAAAAGTTCTGTTCTACGAACCCGCCGGTAAAGCGGTAGAGTAAGACAGGCGCTATATTTCTCGAAAAGTATAGCATGGCGACGGGCGATCGTCAATCGCTACGACTGGCGATCGCCAATCGTCAATACTGGCGACTGTGTCTTCTATGCGTATCGATCACTAACAAGTTACGCCACGCTATACTCCTCGAGGAGTATAGCGCCTGCCTAAGGACAAGCAAACACATCGACCAGTTATTTGTTTACGTATTTATGCCGATAACCAAGATCGTTAACACACTTTATTCGGACAAGATAGCATTTCGGTGCCTTCACCTTCGTCGGAGCCTCGGCACTTCGAAACATGGTTGAGCAACTACCAAAGACAGCGCTCAACCTTGATTCGAAGATTACCGAGTCTCCGACAAAGGTGGCACAGAGGCCTCGAAACGTTAGGCCTCGGACAGAGTTTACGCGATTTGATCGTCGCTTCCGGCTTGCATTTCGGTTGTGATACTTTTCTAGCCAGAAATTTTTGAATGTAAAATGAAAATAAATGGAAATCGCGACGATCAAACCGCGTGTCTGTCCGAGGCCTTAGCCTGTCTGAATTAAGCGTGTTAACGATCTTGCCTAGCGACTATAGAATACTTATACAAATAACAAACTCATACCAAGACTCATCAGTAATCGAGCTTGGACTTTGAGCAGTATTGCAGAATTTTTCCGCTTTCCACCAGCAACAGTTACAATGCGGCGTTTGCACGCTAAGATGATTACCCAAGCTTACAAGCTTTCATTTTTACTATCTTCAACTTTCGCTACTTTTTAGAATTTTTACTTTAGATTTTTGAACGGGCTCCAATAACTATCTGATAGGCAAACCTTCTGCAAATTAGTGCAGTTTTTTGCATTCTTTGAGCTTCCTTTTTAGAATTTGCCTGAATTATTAGGTCGTCCCGAAAGTACTAATTTCGCCTTTTTGGGCAGGCGTCACATTCTGCGGAACAAACATTCCTAAAAAAATTCTGTTGGCATTTGATGCGGTTTCACTCTTTTAGATAATTGTCTTTATACTACAGTTCAACAAGCGAGCCTTTAGATAATTACCAAGAACCATGACCCATGGTTTTTACCAAGGTGAAGTTGTGCTATTTTTTTCTAATTTTTGATTTGCTGAGGAAATCCAAGTAACGGATAAATAGAGCAAGCCCCATAGGATACAAAACAACCTTGTCCTTTCCGTACCTCGCCATATTTTTTTGACAGAATTATCACAACACCATCGAATATCTGCAGATTTATATCAGATACAGACTCGTTGAACACCAGTAGATTTTCGATTCTTGCTACTTTTAAAAGTGGACTATGACTCAGCACTATTCTTACGGAACAAATGAGCTCAGAGGTTTGGAAAATCAAATCTTGAATTTTCCGTGTACAGCTTAGGCCGCCGCCTACAAAAACATGTTGTTGTTCTATCTCCCAAGACTTTACGAAATAGAAACTAATAACACCCCTTTGAAGAGGAGAGTATTTTGCTTCAATAACATCCGAGTTGCTCATCGGTTGTTGTTCTATGAGGTCTAAGAAACCAAACATGGAATTTGATAGTATCCAAAGAATTTTGAAGATCTTAGAAAGCTATGGAAAGGGAAAAATTGTTTTCTATTTTATAATGCTTAATTATCCTTACCTGGACTTCTTCGGGAAATCAATACAAAATTTTGAAAAATAGCGGAACTTTACCATGGGTTGCAGTTTTTTTGAATTTTCTGAGCGCTCTTTTGCTGGACAGCAATATTAGATCACTCTTTGAAAGATTATGAAAATCTGCACATGCTACCAGGATCTCTTATAAATCTTTGTTCCACGGTATGTGCCGCTTGTTTAATCAAAATCGACAATAATTTCAGGACGACCTAATATTCTACCAAAGTCTTGAATTTTGAAAAAGCGCCTGACACATAATCGCATTAAACTCTGCAAAATCCTCAGAATATTGAAGCTCTAAAACTCGATTATTGTATTACTTTTACAAATTAAGTGAGCGATTTTCGCTGAAGAAATCAGTTCTTTGAAATTTTGGGTGCAACAATGAGCTCGTAAAATTGAGAAATAGGCGATCCAAGTTTCGCATTTTCCGCAAAGAAATGACCAGAGATTATCAGAAGGAAGGAGGAAATGTTGCTTCAAATGATACCTGAACTGTTTACCTTTGGATATTCTAGCAGGATAGAATAGGCAAGATATGAAATTCTGTCATTTCAGAAAATATATTCTGGTAATTCTAGAAAACTTGCCGAAGGAATTCAAAAAAAATGGCATCAATTTGCAAAGGGTTTGCCCTATTAGATGGTTGTCAAAGCACGTAGAAAGTCTGAAATAGAATTCTGAAAATCAACGAAATTTGGACATGACAAAAAAATGATGGGTCATAAACTACGGTACTCATCTCAACGCTCAAGACAGTCGCATTGGAAACATAGCTGCTGGGAAGGGAAGAAGTTCTGCGTCGGATATTATCTGAAGTATCTGTTTATCTTCACTATAAGGGATTTGCGGGATGCTCTAGAAAAATAGGAAGAATTTTTGCATGATTCGATAATTGATAAAAACTATCATTGAAGTTGTGCATAGGATTTTCGCAATAATCATTTCTATCTATTCCTTTACCAAACAACGTTTTCAAATATGACCACTCGCAAAAGTTTCGTTTTCCTCAGTACTAGACATCGGTCTATTTTACCCTATCTCTCATCGAAAATGCTTCTGCTAGATGAATACGAGTTGCTATAGACTTCATGATTTGATAGAATCTTTAAATTCTCAGTTAAAGATGCCCACCATTGAACTTTTACAAAAACAACGGCAAATGTACAGCAGCGTAAGAAGGCCGCGAAAAACTCACGATAATCAATCTGACGCCGGAACTTTCGAAGGTGCTTATTCTTATATTAACACAGTGCTAATCTTATTACAAAATTCCAGACATATCCGAAATTCACACGCAGAATTCTGATCTTGGAGGTCCGACATCGGAAGACACCCGTGCACAGGCAGAGGAACTTCCAGAAATGCCACACCACGAGCGACGAGTTTCGGTGATGTTCATCCTCGTCATAATGCTGGGTGAGTTATACAGAATGCCTTCTTGTATCTTATGTATGTTCTTGTATGCCTTCTTTGATGATTGTTCTGATGAGGAAATTTTGACTCCAAGCCATGGGCCGTCTTTACGTACGTAAACATTCGAAAGGGTGTTACAGGCTATCTTTGGTCGATAGGTGTTGAATTTCAACAAACCTTTACCTTGGAGGCGACCATGAAGGGTACTGATCACTAAAGTACTAAACCTTTGGGGTCGGTTGTTTTGGTAACGCGATTTCTGCCCATTACGCTTTGGGAGCTCAAGCAAACAGGGATGGCCGGCTTGGAGACCGCAGAATTGTTACCTATTAGAAATTCAGTCAAGTGACCTATTAACTTCTTACTTCCAGAGTGAGGCAAAAAACCGATATACAAGGTGTCCCAAAAGTATCTATACACTGTTTGATTGTTAATATCTCGCTTCCCTAGAAGTCTTTTGCCTACCTCAAGGTACCATTTCGTAGAGCCAGCTTCAACTCACAACTGATTTACGTATGGATCAAATCAACGACCTTTGTTCATTATTGTAAGATTACGGTAGGAACAAGAAGGTTTGAGCCATTGAAGGCCTTATTTCGCCTTTCAGAGCAAACCCAAACAATCTGGAAACTCTTACATAGGATCATTAGAGTCGCTAAAACCAAATACAAACTTTGCATTCGACCTCGATGCTTCTTTCGTAACTTATGCCAGGTTAAACCGTAACAGCTGTCTTTACAATGCTCCCTAAAATCGCGATCACACCATTTGAAAGCTTCACAAACGTCGGCGAGGCGCATCTTCCTACAGATGTGCCTAGTTGTGGGATATAAGTTTTTTTCTTGGAATTTTAGTGTAAATGGATTACTCAGTGTGCTGATTCCAGAGGCTACATACACATTCTGTTGAGCGCTGCAGAAATATGGCAGGTATAGTTTAAGAGCTCATTCTGCATGGATATGTGGGAAACTGGGCTTTTCTCGGCGAAGTATGACGGTCCCAAAATGCAGGAAGACAAAGGGAAATGGTTGGAAATCGCGTGAGAAGCACATATCGCGGAATGCCGCGCGTGCTGTGCAATGTACAATACCACCCACAGAACGGGAATTTGGCGAAATTCCAGAAATTTCGCGAAATTCCAGAAATTTCCGGAATATCGCAAATTATGCAGCGCCATAACTTCCTTCGGAATGAATATATTCTAAATCCGAAAGCAGCATTGTGTTCAACTCGTCAAGGCGAATCTTTCGGTGCTCGCCATGTCATCTATATCTTATTTCCAGTTTTCCCAAATTTTTCTAAGGAGGTCCCTTTGCAAGTATGTAACGCAGCGCCTATCCAGCATAAAAGCTTCCAGTAAGTACCATTCGATAGTGCTCTTCTTGTACATTATAGTACCTAGAAAGCTGCCACAACTTCTTTCCAAAAGAGAAAAAAGCGTTGGTAAGTTCTGGAAAAATCACTCGTTTCCAGATCTACTCGCCGTAACTTTCTTTGGAGTGGATATTTTCTGAATCCGAAAAGTGCATTGTGCTCAGCTCATCAAGGCAAATCTTTCGGTATGCAGAATGTCCTTGATATCTCGATTTCAGTATTCTTAAAACTTTCTGCGGACGTCTCTTCGCAAAGGTGTGAAGCAGCACGTATTGCCCCCCCCCCTCCCTGGGGGGGCCCCCAGTAGATTCAGAAAGAAATTTTCGATAGTACTTCTTCTGTAGTTTATGGGGCGTTAGAAATTAGCCGCACACTTCTTTCCAAAGGAGATAGAAGGGCTGGTGAATTCTGGAAAAATCATGATGTTCTAAATTTTTCTCAACGTAACTCTAAAATATGAAGCTCTCTTGCTAAGCAGATGTGATTTTCGTAATTGCCAGGTCAGATAACCCCTATGAGCAAGTTTCCAGAGAAATTCGAGTTACTTGATTCTCGTTTCATGCTCTGAAGCTCGCCGGCGGGTTTTGGTCGAAATGTTTATGATCTTTTTTTGAAAGGAATTTTCGCTTATAGAGGTTTTCGAACACGCTCTTTACAAAAATCAAGGTCTTTGAGGATTACAGGGTCTTTTTGGTGAGATACGGTGAGGTGATTGTAACTGAATCACGAAAGTCCGTAATTTTGCCCGCACTTCTCGCGTATCTGTCAAAAAACTTGCTTGCTTGCTTGTCCAAGTCAAATTTAGTAGGGACTGTGCCGAATGGTGCATGCCTCAGACTCCACTCTACAGAAATTGCCGAGTTACGAGCCTACGAAAATACATCCTCATGAATTTCGCCCAAAATGTAAAGATCGCATATGAAGATCCATCATCAAGTAGCCTATATGTCGGAGACTGTTTGATGGCTGAAGAGAACTCAAGTTGTTTTGCTACATAAAAAGTTGCACGAGCAAGTCGAAAAATGCCAACATTTGAGCCTCCGCAGGCGCAAGTATGCCGACCTTCCAATATTTAAATTTCTGCTGTCACGAACGAAAAGAGCCATTTGGCTGATGGTCCTTGATTACTCTCGCTTTGCTCTAAGGTCCGGGCATACCTCACGCAATTTCAGTCGCGACGCGACGGACACTCCAATTACCTATAACTCGTTACAGCCTCAATTTGAGCACACGGAAAATAGCAGATTTTATCGACTCACAAAAAATGAGTGCACTACGCATTTGCGGCCTGTGAGTGTTGAGTTGAAAAGTTCTGGCAAATGGCCAAATCGTGTGGCGACCGAAATAGCGAGAGGTATGCCTAGGGTCTAACTTATTTTTTATTATTCATTACGCACAAGGCAAAGCAGGGCAAAATACGCAGAACATAACCAGGAACAAACACAAAGAATAAAACAAGAAAAAACCTATAAGTTAGCTCAAGTCCAGTCACCAAATAGTTTTGAAGAAAATCAAGAATTGAGCTTGTATAGACCAGGTTTGAAGTAATCACTCGATAATAATGGCGTAGAGACTCAATGGAATCTGTCCCATGCCCTCTGCTTGCCCGAAAAGGCGATCTTTACTATTCAGTATAAGCAAACTGGAATTAGGGGAAGCGGTATATATGGAAATCCCGCACAACCAGTTTCTGGGGAGGAGCAGAACTCCGATAGCAGAGAAAAGACTGCATAATGCAAAAAGCTGACCGAGCCTAACAAGCTATTCCCAGATAAAAAATAGAGGTCGGACCAGGGCCCGGCACCGATGGTTTGGGGTCAAATTGGACTTCGTTTTCGGAGTTAGAAGCAACGGGGACATCGTTTCTATGAGGTCCTGGAGGAAGCGCCAAAAAAACACGGCGAACATGTCAGGTTTCACGAGTTGAACGTGTTCCTTCGCAAGCGCGCGAATTTCAAATGCAAGACTCAAACAAACAAGTGGCTTGTTTACAGCGCACAAACAATTACATGGCTTTGAATTTGGGCTATGAGTATACAATATTACTCCAAACTATGTTATGTAAAAAGTTCCCAAAACTTATGTGTCCTAATATCCGTTCTCGAATTTGTTGGTTTCTAGACCAACTACCAAACCAACTGGGTTGGTTCGGAGCATAAATATCGGAGAGTTCACATAAGTTTGGGACCTTTTTGATTTGGACGATTAGAACGGTCAAACATCTATCATATAGTGAAGAGAGCGGATCAAACCGTTGCCTCTACCCTTTCTTGAGGCAAAAGTAGTATAATTCTACGCGTTGGTAGATATCGCACTCCAATCACTTGCGGTGTCCTTTGAAATACGTGGCGAAAAATGCATCGCAGGATTGTTGAGGCTACAGATTTGGTTGGCCTAGGAGATTCTCCACATTCTCAGCATCAAAATGGTACTATATCCAATGGCAGAGCCTTTAATCGACTCGAAATGTTTTCTTTTTGCTTTTTTGTTATATTACATACCTCAAAATGCGCTTTTTTCGCTTTTTTGTTGCTATTTTGGTTGAATAAGGGTTTCTCTACTGATTTTCACGTCGAGAGGGACTTCGTAAATTTTCGCGAAGTCATGGGGGACTTCGTTTCCTAAAAACCTCCAAACCAACGCGTGCCGGACCCTGTACCGGACTCAACCCAGCGTGTGGACAAAGTATAAATTTGATCAAACACCAACGTCAGAGGACTTCAGATGAAGTCAGCTCTAATCCCACGGTTCTACGATCAAATACCGTCATAGAGGAATAGAAACAAACAGAGCTTGTAGTTAGTTCATACAGCCAAGCAACAATGGGTCAGTCTAGCCATGATCAATTTTACTAGTCAAAAGAAAGTCAAACACGGCAGAAGGCGATTGCTCCACTGAGCAACCACTAGTTGTCACAAACCATCCAGCCAAAACCTAGCGAAACTGTCAAACGCAATATGAATATAGACTAAATTAGAAGAATATCCACCGCATGCCAACACGTTTAAGACCACCTAAACTAAAGACGCGGGGCCCAGTTGTTCAAGACAAGGGACTGTATAGTCGCTGTTCTTGAGCATCCGGGCATAGCTGAAAATGAATCATGGCTCAACTGCTTCAAAGCAAACAGCCATTAGCCGTTTACTCTCAAACAATCAAGCCGCAAATTTTTTTGCAGTGTGCATATAAAATTCTTGCTATCGGTTGAATCGAAACCTCGTATGGCAAGAGATCAAGCCATCTGGCGGTCCGGCAGAAAAAGGAGTTAACAACTAGTGAATAATGTTTTCTGAATATCCTTCCATAATCTAGGTTAAAGACAGCTCTTCTAGATGAGCATGGCCGGAACCTCCAATACTTACTGACGCTCAAATTGATTTCCTTCTTCAATATGCGAAAAGCAAATGTTAAATCATTGTAAACTCTCCTGAATAATAGAGTGTGCAGTGACAGAGTTTTCAATCTTTCTTCATAGTTGGGCAGGTTTAATCGGCTATTTCCAGGATGAATAAAATGCCAGGAACTTAAGCAATATCTCAGATAAAGAGGGAGGGTCCCGGGCTCTTCCCAGCGGGGGTCTGCCACTCGTGCTCCGGAGCCTTCCCATCTCACCCATTTTGGTGCTCCGG